ATATTTGGCCTTTGATCCTCAAAGAAATTAACTATTTGAGATCAAGAAAGACAATTACCAGGAATTCCATGGTGGTCTAGTGGTTAGGATTTGGCGTTTTCATTGCTGTGGCCCAGGTTCAATCCCTGGTCAGGGAACTGACATCCTGCAAACCGTGCAGCATGGCCAAAATAGAAAAAAAGAAAAGAAAGATAATTACCATCCAACTTGGCATCCTCTACATCGTGTCCAGCAACCAGCTGGGTAAGAGCCGGCTTGAGTTTGTGCCTGCATTTTGGTGAGTGGGTTCTTCCAGACGGGGATTTATGTGGGACACCTCCATGCCCCTTCCTTCTCCTCTCTGCTTGCCCTCTTCTCCTCACTCCTGGAGCAGATTGCTGAGGGCCTCAGTGGCCCACAGTCTGAATCTCATGAGACATGTGTGAGGGACAGCAGCTTTGCTTCCTCCTAACTGGGAAGGCCAGCTTCCTGCCAGGAGGACCTTGATTCCCTGTCTGGATCCCTCTGCCCCACTGCTCCCTTGTCTGCCCCCACCAGTCTGCATGGTCTCAGGGTCTGTTACTTGCATCACCCTCTCTCCAGTACTAAATTCTCCAGTAGCTGGAAGATTTTGGGTTGTGAGGGACACAAACCTCCTGGATACAAGCAAGCCAAGGTAGAATGCTTGTTAAGAAGTTGAGGGGGACCCAGTGACTGCAGCCAGGGTGTCGAGTCCTACCGCAGAGATTAGGCTTCCAGGAACTGCTCCAGAAGTAGTGAGAAGTGTTGGGGGAGAGGACTGAGCCAGGGTTACACTGGGGACCTCTAGAGAGGCCCCTGCCTGGGGCGGCAGCTTCTAGAGGGCGCTAGACCACTGTGAGACAAAACCGGAAAGGGGTATCAGAGAGCTAAGGTCTCGATATGGGCAGGGGGACTAAGTTTGTGCCAAAAACCCCCCAGTAATCAAGATAAATCATATTTTAAAACATCTAAATGCAAAAAAAATTCATGCTGAACAAATTTGCAAAAGTTTAAATAAAGTTCGGTTGTTGTTGTTTTATGACCCTGCTCTACTGAGCAGTGGGAAGAGTTGTTTCCAACCGGCCTGAGGCTCCTGAGCTGCCATACCCCTGCTGTGTGGGATTATAAGGGTTGACAGCAGGGTGTGAGCAGATTGGGCAACTTGGAGTTTTATGTATAGCCATGTTTTCCCACTTGGTTCAAGATATTTGATATCTGATAGTTTGGTAAGTGTATATAGGGGATCACATTTTTCTTTTTGCTGCAGGCTCCACTAGGACTCCCAGGGCATTGGCCTCAACCCTGGATTCCTTATAGAGCTTGCAAAACATACACTGAAGTAGGAAGCATCTTCAAATGGAAACAAAACTGCAGACCTTCACCGTCAGTGTCCCAACGTCTGCTGAACATTTTTGCTGAGCATAAACGCCCATTGCAAGGCAGTCAGCAGCCTGAGGAAATTCTGAAACCAAATTACAGCAGGCTAATGCCCTTTACCATAAATGAGTCATTTATCCCATTATTTGATTTTTAAACCCTTTAATACATCTCCCAAGAAGAAGTCTGCTTTGGAAAAATCACCAGAAGAATTGGAAGAGAGAGAACAAGGAAAGAGAAAAAACCTAAAAGTAGTTTTTTTTCCCCCAAATTAAAAAAAAATTAAAATCCAGTTGGCCTGTGCAGTGAAAATGAGTTAGTTGAGTTACTCTGTCTACAGTGTTCACTAATATAACATCAGTGTCTCTCTACCTTCTTTCCTAAACCGAGGAAATCAAGGGGGAGAGGGGTCCTGAGCCTCCATCAGGGCAGGTGGGACAGGCTATGGCAAGCCTCCCACGCCAGGGAGGGAACCTTTGGGGACCTCTGGTTTCACATCAGTCTCGGAAGGAGGGTTGGTCCTGCTTAATCCTATATGGCCTCCTCAAACCGTGTCCCCGGTTTCTGCTTCTACTGGGCCCAGAACTCTCCCAGACGGGGCCCCAAGCCTGGAAAACAGGCCTCCTCTCCATTTCCCAGCCCTTGTCGGGATGACTGGGTGGGCTCAGGGCCTCTTAGAGTGGTCACCAATGTCCCTCACAGGCCTCGCTCTGCGCAGAGCGATTCATCTCAGGCATGTGGCAGGGCTACTTGTGTTGTAGCAAATGAGGGGGGCAGGTCGGAGTGGCAAGAACCTCACGCGGAAGACAGGCCTTAGTCCTGCGCCACCACGCGCCGTCCTTCCCTCAGCCCCTAATCAGCCCCGCTAGCCCCTTTCTCTGCCACCCTCTACCCATTATCCCTTCCCTCCCCTCCCATCACAGCCGGCTCCGGGAGGGATCGAATCTTGGGCGGCGAGGAGGGCGGCTTGGAGAGCCAGGCTCGGGGGCCGGAGGGCACGCACTGGCCGGGGGCCGCCTGCGCGGAGCTGTCCAGCACCCGAGGCGGGGCGCGCAACCCCCGGCCCGCCCCAGCAGCCAGCAACCGTCCTGCCAGCGCCACTGCGGCTCGGCGGGCGCGTCACGTGGCTGGCGCGGCGCGGCCTCCGGGCTCAGGCGGGCGAGGGGCCGGGCGGCAGGACCCACAGACCCGCTGACGCTCCACCGGCGGCACCGGCCGTGCGGGCTGGGAGCAGCGCGGGGCGGCCAGGGGACGCCAGGGCCGGGCGGGCTGCGCGGCGCGGGGCATGGGCACGCCGGGGGCCCCCGGGCACAGGCCGGCCGCGGCGCGGCTCCCGGGGCGCAGGGGCAGCGGCGGGCAGGGGTCCTCCCTGGCGGCCGCCGCTGAGCCCCCGCGAGGCCCGTGACGCCGCGGCCGATGTGGCCCCGCACGCGCTGCGGGCCTGCACCGCCACCTCACAAAGTCGCCGCCGGAGCCGCCGCCCGCACCCGGGCCGCAGCCGCCGCGGGAGCCCAAGCCCGAGCCCGAGCCGGAGCCGCAGGCGCGGGGCAGGAGGCGGCGTCCACGGGCGGCCGCCCGGCCCCGGCATGGAGAAGCGGGCAGCCGCGGGGCCGGATGCGGCGCCGGGCGCCCGGGCGCAGCTCGCCGTCGTCTGCCTGGGTGAGTGGGCCGCGCGGGCACGCCGGGGTTTGTCCCCTGCCTCTGTAGCTCCACACCTCTCCCTGGTCGCACCCGCGGCGCCCCTCTTCCCCGGTCGCGGCTGGAGTTCCCGGAGCGGGCACTGCGAGAGCTCCCGCCGGAGGCCGCGGAGACTGCGGCTCCCAGGACCCCGGCCTGCTGGGGTCGTAGGCCTGGGAGGGCGCCTCCGGCCGCGGAGCCCCGGCTCCCGCCCGGCTCGGAAGAGCGTCCGGGAGCCCGGGTGAGCGGTGCGCAGGGCGGCCCGCTGTGCAGGCGCCTGGGGTTGGCAGGCAGTGGCTTTCTGCCTGGGCTGCCCGTGCTTAGCCTGGTGGCGACGGGGGGTCGGGGGCCTCCGGAGCTGCGGACAAAGGCGAAGCCAGCCGGGCCGGGGCCGGTGGCCCCCTCAACGAGGAACTATTTCCTGCCCAGAGTGGGTTGGGGGCGGGAGCTAGCCGGAGCCGGGATCAGGATGCCGGGCAGGAGGCAGCTGCTAGAATGACTCCTGTTTTCCCTTTGTTGCTTCACAGACCCAGCGGGGCAGGCCTCATCAGCCCAGGTGGTGTGTCTGGGGAGGGTCGAGGGACCCATCCAGGCCTGCCACCCCTCCAGCCCTACCAGAGTTTTTCTGTCCACCTTTCCAGGGCCTTGTGTGGGGGAGAGGGGAAGGAAGGAGTTAAATCCTCAAGCCACATGGCTCCTTTATTTACCATGATGAAGGAGGGAGGCCATTATCTAAGTCCCGGGTCATTAGGGGACACCCTATGGTGTCATTAGTGAAGGCTCTGTAACCCCAATAGGTTGGCTGAAGCCAGTGAAATGACAGTAAAAAAGAAGCCTGTTCATTTTAGGTTGCACCCTCCTCTACCCCCAAGAACCCAGGAGCTGGGGGAAGGCCCCTGCCTTAGCTGTGTGAGCGGGTCTCAGTAAAGGCCACGGCCCCCAGAGTGCCCACTCTCCAATCTGTCAGTGGTCACGTGCTGCTGGGTGCTGGGCTTCCCCGGGGAGCAAGGCAAGGGGCAGACCCTCCGGCCTTCCCAAGGCCCTCCCTGCCCAGATGGGGCATAGCCCAGCAGAGCCTGGGTGTCCTGCTAGGCGGCAGCTGGCCCTGCTTCCTCACCAGATGGGGGCTGACCCCTGCAGAGATGCTCTCTGCTTCCCTTGGCATCCTTGATGTTGGGGAAGGAGGCACCCTGAACCCCTGGAAGTTGAGTTTGCCCATATCTTCCGTTCCCATCACCCCTGCGGGAAAGCAGTAGATGAAAGCAAAGGGCAAATCCCATGGTGGTGGGTACTTGAAGGGGTAGGTGGCAGGCAAATTCTTTGCCTCTCTTCTCAAGGTCAGCATGGCACAGTGAGGAGGACCTTGAACCCTGTTAGCTGTGAGTGCCTGTAAAATGGGTGTAATCAGAACTGTTTCCCTCCCTCCCTGGCTGGAGAGGCCGCTCAGAGGGAGGAAGCCCTACAGGGTGGTAGGAGAGCCCTTGACAAGCCCAGGTTGAGCAAGGGCCTCTCTCTGAAGGATGGTCCAGGCCCATGGTTCCCAAACCTGAGAGGAAACAGAAACACACCCCCTCCCAAGTAACTTAGAATTCCCAAGTGTGGCGAGTGGCAGGAGCTGTCTGGTGCAGTCAGGCTTGCACCCTGCTCTCTTCCGCTGTGGGTGTTCAGGTGGGTGCTGAGATCCCCGAGGTTCTCGCTTCTGCCCATCCCAGCAGGACTGGGGTGGGAGCACAAGTCTCTGTGGCAGCACTCTGGGCCTTACCCTGCGAGATGAAGAGAACCAGCCTGGAGTTTGGGCTGTGTTGACCTGTGCCCCAGGTGCTTGAGACCCAAGAGCCACCCCCCTCCCCCAATCCACTGAACTCTCTCTGTGTCTCCCGCAGTGAACATTGTTCTCACCGGGAGGCTCAGCAGCGCCGTTCCTGCCTTAGGTGAGTAAGATGCTTCTCCCCTTCCTCCCTTCCTCCCTGCCCTCCTGGCTTAGTGACCTCTGAGTACCAGCCTTCAGGATCCTGGCTCCACCCCTGAGGTCACCTGGCCTTTTTCTACCTCAATCCCTGGGAATCTTTTCTGCATCACAAAGGAGCTGTTTGGCATTGGGCAAACTTACACCTCTCTGAGTCTCAGTTTCCTGTTCTGTAAAATGGGTGCAATAACAGGCCCTACCCCAAAGCCTGCTTATTAGGGTTAAATGGGCAAATGAGGTAAGGTGCTCAGCACAGCATTGGCACATGGTGGCCTAATACCGCTAGGAAACTGTCACCGCCCACACGATTGACGGATTGTGCTTCCTGTAGGGTTCCCAGAGGGCCATGGGGCGCCATGAGATGCCTGCCTGCTTTAAAATTATACCTGGGATTTAGCTGATAAAGATATGGCTGAGTGACAGCACCGAGAGACCAAAGCCATTGATGGAGGGATTTAGTGCTTATGTGTCTTGTGAGGAGGGCACATGCCATGCCACATAGGGTCACAGGGGAAATACCAGGTTTGGCCAAGGCAGACAGAGGAGTGAGGGGAAGGCCCAGGCCAGAGGCTTGATTGGCGTTTCAGTGGGAAAGGCAGGGCAGGGCAGGGGAAGCAGCTTAGGACTGGCTAATTTGAATAATTCCCGAGGGCTCTGGGCTATGGGGGTGGTCTCTCGGTGCCTGGTACCTGACCCTGGGATGAAATACTGGCTTGGTGTGTGAGTTAGATAAGAAGGCAGTGAGGAGACTCAGCCTCGGATCAGCCAGTCTGCCCGGGGAAGACCAGTTTCAGGCAAACTGGTTTGCAGGAGAGAGGTAAACACTTTGGCTGAGAGTTTGGCCCTGTGGTTAGTGGATGCCAGATAGACATATGGAGTCTAAGAAAACACAGTTAGAAGTCCGCGGCTGCCTCCTGCCTGTCCGCGTGGGTCCGTCCGTCCACTGGCCGTCGTTGTGCTTGGGCCTCGTGCTGAGCACAGCAAAGGCTGCCAGGAGCGGCAGGGAGGCTGAGGCCATCAGGAGCATTTGTCCTTTGCTGAGGGGGCTGCCAGGGGTTGGTGAATGCATAGGCCCAGGCCCCTGTGGCCCTTGGTGCCCCTGTGAGACATCTGAAGGGCCTTGGGAGCTGGAGTCTGGGGCGCCGCGGACTTGTTCGCTGTGTGCTGAGCTGCATCGTGGGGCGGGAGGTACCCGGGATTTCTAGTTCTGCTCAGGGCCCGGCTTGCAGCAGAAACCCACGGAGGCCGGCTCAGGGAGAGGGCTCTCTGCTGGCTGCGGCCCCTGGGAGGGGGAGGCTCAGGGTCCACAGAAGCCGCTCTCACGGGCCCACCTCTGAGACGCACCCTCGGCCCCCTTCTCCCTGCCCACCAGCTCCTGCTTCCGGCAGCCTGGTCTCCTCTGCTGACTCTGCTGGCCCAGGGCCCTGCCTCGCTCAGCACTGAGCCAGCCTCGGCCCTGCCTGGCGTCCTGGCCCCCACAGCTGACCACCCAGTCTCTCCACCCCAACTTCCAGGAGAAGACTGACTGGCCTCACCTGGGTCAGGTGTCTGTGGCTATGGTAGAGAGTGGGCATGGGGAAAGGGCACGTGAGGGTGTCAGGTCTTACAAATGTGAACCCAGGCCGGCCCTCCTGCTGGTGTAGCGGGTGGGCATGTGGCTAGACGTTTAGAAAAGAAATGCTCCAGGGACAAGGTCTACTCCTAGAGCCGGGAAAGAGCCATCCGGGTCCACCCTCATGTGTGGCCACCAGCAGGGTCCAGGTTGCCTGTGCATGGCGCCCCCCGGTGTCCTGTGCGGCCCCAGGTGGTGATCTGGGGCTGGGACTGTCCTGGAGCCCATTGCTGACCCTCTAGCATTGCTGAGGGAAGTGGAGACCAGTTTGCGCTGCCAGAGGTGCCTCCCTCCACCCAAAGCTTCATGCCGCTGCAGTTTTCAGGGTTTCCCTGCGATTCCTCCTGTGAGGAGGCCAGATCATCACTGTCTGGCCTGCCCCTTCCCAGCCCTCGCTGGGCTCAGACCCCCCGCAGGGCCCAGCTGGGCTGCCCGGGAACCTCTCAGACCCCGTCCTGCCCCAGGTTGTCAGGCACTAACTGGGTCGGGCCACCCACCTCCCGCACCCCAGACTCTGGGCTCCGCCTTGTGGCCACTGTGACCCGGTGGGGTGGTGAGCCTGGGCAGGGTCTTCAGGCTGTTCTCCCCTCACCTGGCAGCTGCGCCCAAGTGCTTTGGTGGGGCTCCCAGCTCCCTGTCATTGGTTACACCAGCAGGGTGTCCGGAGTAACGACGGCCTCTGGAAACCAGATCTGTGCGCTGCGCGTCCTCAGGCCTTGCTTGTACCCTCTCAGGAGTATTTGACGTCCCTGTGGACCAGGAAAGAAGGACACTGGTCTAAAAGTGCTCAGTCATCCCTTGCCCCCTTGAGCAGGCCACCTTGACCCGAGGGCCGAGCAGTCTTCTGCCCGAGTGAACACAGGTCACCTCCAGTTAAGCTCAGACAGACCTCTCTGACTGCCCCTAACACCCCCCAAGACCCTCCACCCTGCATCGGTATCTCCCAGCTCCCCTTGCTGCCCGCCCATCATCACACACCCCATCACTACCCTCACCTCCCCTGGGCATCCCCCCTCCTCAACCCAGCACGTGCATGTCTGCCTAGAGACTGCCGCTTCCTCAGATCTCCCAGCCACCCTGAGACAAGCAGCGCCCACTGACTCCATTTCACTGATGGACAAGCTGGGGCCTAGGGTGCAACGGTGTATCTGGCAGTGTGGACCCCCGGACTGGATTCACGAGGCTCTACCCTGCCTGTGCTGGGGTCCTGGGGTGGTGGTGGAATGTGGGTGAGCCCTGCTGTCACAGAAACTAGAAAGCCTGGGGCCGGTGGTCTGAGCGGATGATGCCCTCCAGGCCCATGGCCAGGCAGCGTCCAGTCTGGGGCCCTGCACGGACTCTGGCCTCCCTCCTGCACCGTGGTCACTTTGCATGGGCCAGGCCGACGGCTGCAGAAATCATGGTCTCTGTGGCCCCCTTTGGAGAAGAATAAAGTGACTGAGTGACACGGCTGCCCCCGACGTGGGAATTTCTGGGGCAGCCAGGGCGCACTCAGGGGTGAGGCTGTTTGGGGAATGTGTTGTCAGGGGCTTTGCTGAGGGGCAGAGCTGGGCTGGCAGCTGTCCAGTCATCTGCTCCTGACTAGGCTGGTGGTTGGAGACACAGGCCTCCCTACTCATGAAAGAAGGGCCAGACACAGGTCCCTGCGGGCCTGGCTTTCCCTGGCCAGTGTGGGAAACCCGGCCTCCGTGAGTGCTGCATCTCATAGGGGAAGCGTCTGGGCCAGGGTAGGTATTGCTTTGCCTCAGGCCTTGTCCTGGGGGCGGAGGGGACAGGGGGTGACTCCCACACTGGCTGGTGAAGCCTCCAACTCCAGGTGTAACCTCTGCTTTAGAGACTCCGTGTGGGGGGCAGATGTGCTCCCAGCCCTGCCTGGGAACCTCCCGCCCAGCACCCTGTAGGAGGAGAAGCCTCTTCTGGGTTTCATAACCTCACGCCTCCCAGGGTGTCCCCAGGTCGGCACCCAGCGTCTCTGGGAGGCCCAGAAAGCCGGCGGCCTCACCCGTCAGAGGGAACATGTTGCTCCGGCCCCCGGCCGCCCCTCCGTTTGTTTAGTCCTTACCCTCCTGGGCTGTGAGAGATCTGAGGCTCGGGGAGGCTGGCCTCCCAGGCCACGCTGAGTGCCCAGCGGAGAGCCCTGGCTGGTACCTCGCCGACCCACGACTGTCGCTCTGATGGTGACCTGAGCGTGGTCAGCCTCGCGTTAGGGTCAGGGTGGGTGTTTCTCTTCTAGTCCCCTGATGCTCCTGTGAGCCATCGCCGGGGGCTAACTCCCTGCTAGTCACAGTGTTGGATCACCCGGACCTCCGCGCGTACCCTCCTAAGACTGTGGGAGGTGTCTGGAGGGCTTTCACTCTCCCTTCTGTACCTGAGCCCTTTGGGGTTTCAGAGTCTTGTTGAGAGCTAGCAGAGAGACCCTACTTCCAGGGCAACGGTGGAAGGGGCCAGGCAGTGGGAGAGAGGAGGTGGTATTGCTGGGCTCGGGAAAAGTGTCATCATTTGTCTCCCCCAGCCTCAGTTTCTCCATCTGTATAACGGGCCCCACCTGTGCTGCCGGCTGTCGGGAAGATCAGATGAAGAAGTATGACTGAGGGGCTGTGAGGGGTGGGGGCAGCCAAGCGCAGGGCCTTCCTGGTCCTGGGAAGGCCAGGGCACACCGGGGCAGGGTTTGCCACCTTTAGGCTGGGTGGGCTCAGCTGGGAAGCAGAGGGCATGTGTAATGATGTGGGTAAAGTGAGGCCGGTGAGGCTGGGCACAGAGGCACTCGTCACCCGTGCTGGCTGGCGTGATGCCCTGAGCTCGTCCCTGACACAGTGTACGGTAGACACTTCATCAGTGCGTCGGCTCAAGGCTGGCAGTGAGAGGCCGAGCCCGTTAGAGGACCAGGGTGGGCCCTGACTTACCTGCTGTGTGGCCATGGGCAGCTCACTTACCCTCTCTGAGCCTCGGTTTCCTCATCTGGTTACAACATCCACCCCTGGTGGATTCCCACTTATGCTCAGGATAGAACCCAGATGCCACACAAGGTACCATCTGACCCAGCCTGCACTTCCAGCCACCTTGGGACATCGGGTCCTCCTTTCAGGCCTGTTTTATAATCTTCACTTTACCCAGGGTATCTGCAGAGCCTGCTCCTTCCCCAGCCTGTGAGCTCCACAGAGCCAGGCTTTTGCCTGTCTTACGAGCATGCCTACCGCTTGTGCTTGCCATATAGTAGGTCTTCAGTGAATATGTGTTGGGTGAGCACAGCCCCTTCCCTCCCCGGCTGAGGCCTGTATTTAGTCAGCCCCGGGGCGGGAGGAGGGGAACAGGCAGGGAACCATAGTGGGTCTGCCTCTGCCTAGGGCTGCAAGATTCTCCAGAGGCACCAAGGGGAGTTGGTGGGCCACTCCCAGCCCTGCTGGGGATGAGGGATAAGACCTAGGCTCTGGGGCACAAGGTGGGCCCTCCTTGGCCCACGCCAGACACACCACTTCCATGAAGTGTCGAGTTGTGGCCTTCCTCTTGGCTGTGATCACCTTGGCTGGACTTGAGCCCACCCCGGGGAAGGCCTGTGCTCAAGCCATGGGGGGCTCAAGTGTCCCCCTCCCTCACTACCCCCTCCCACCCAAAGGTGAGGCTAGCACCTCTCAGCCTCCTCTCCTGACAGCCGCCTGCAGCGGGAAACTGGAGCAGCACACGGAACGACGCGGTGTCATCTACAGCCCAGCCTGGCCCCTCAACTACCCACCGGGCACCAACTGCAGCTGGTACATCCAGGGTGACCGTGGGGACATGATCACCATCAGGTATGGGGGCCCCGGGGGTGTCAGAGGGAACCAATGTGGGCCTACACACACTGAATGTGAGTGTGATGGTGTGCATGTGAGGGCATGTGGCAAGCCAGTGACCAGATGCGTGTGCACACGTGTGAGCGCTCACGTGTGCTTGTTTATGTGCGTGAGCCCCATCTGAGCAGGTATAAAGGACAGGTGTGTGTGCATGTGTGAGCACGTGTGTGGGTAGGTGTGGTGGGCACAAGTGAGCAGATGTGGATGTGTGCAAGTACGTGTGTGAGTCTACATGTATGAGTTGTGTGCATGTGAGCACGTGAATGTGGGCCTCTGTTGCTGGCTGCCCAGACCTGGGCCTCGTCCTGCCCTGAGCCTCTCTCATGGGCTTGCGGGGCTGTCCGTCACCTCAGGCCTGCCAGGGAGGGGAGCCCTGGGACTGGTGGCCATGGCCCAGCTGTCTGTGAGGTGGCAGAGGTGTCCTGTCTGTCCTGCAGGGGTGGCTTGAGGCCAGGCTGGCACTGAGCCCAGAGCACATTTTCCCCAGGGGCCTTGGGGTGGTCTCGGCAGGAACGGGGACCAGGCAGGAGCCCAGGCGCTTGAGCTGCGGGGACATGCAGAGGGAAACGGGGTGAGGTGATCAGATGGTGGAACTGAGGCTGGACCCCTGGACTGGGGAGATCATGGGGAGTCACTCTCCTAAATGCAAAGCCCGGAAGCCCCCAGTGGCTCCAAGGCACAGGGATGTGATGGGCACCGTCAGGGTCTGTGCCCGTTTCCCTGTGGCCTCTGGGAGTCTCTTCAAAGACTCGACTCTTCCTGGCCCCCTCTAGAGAACTCCATGGCGCTGTTTATCCCAGAGCCTGGGCCAGGGGGTCCAGGGCCAGTGTTTCTCCCCAGGTGCTGAGCTGTGCCCCAGCCCCAGCCTAGGCCAGCCCGGTGCGCACGGGTCCCCTCGGTGCACAAGCCTGGGATTATGCAGGGTCTGTCCCAGCAGAGCCAGCATGGTGCGGATCTGAACCCTTGGCCTTGTCCTTCAGGGGAGAGTGTAAGTGGAGGGAATTGCCTACGATGGGGCTCCTGCCTCCCCCTCCACTCTGGCCTTGGGTTGGGGTGCCGTGTGTGTGTGTGTGCTGACCGAGGGTGGAGAGGCTGCACTGGGGCTGACGTGACCCAGGCTGTCCACACTGTCCTGATTCTTCACGGAGCCACCTTCAGACCCCTGGAGGGCCCACTGAGCAGCCGGGAGTGGAGGAGAGGAGGGACAGTGGGGCTGGCCATCCTTGCCGTGAGCTCAGGCATGACCGTTCCCTGCTGGCCCCTGGCCACCCACCCATGTCGGCGGCCCTCTTTGCCCCCCGCAGCTTCCGCAACTTTGACGTGGAGGAGTCCCACCAGTGCTCCCTGGACTGGCTCATGCTGGGCCCAGCGGCTCCGCCCCGCCAGGAGGCCTTCCGGCTCTGCGGCTCCGCCATCCCACCCGCCTTCATCTCTGCCCGGGACCACGTTTGGATCTTCTTCCACTCGGACGCCTCCAGTTCCGGCCAGGCCCAGGGCTTCCGTCTCTCATACATCCGAGGTGATGCCGGTGGCAGGGCGGGCGGGGCGCCTCAGTGTGTGCACATGGGCTCCGGGGGGCCAGGGCGGCACCCTCCATCGACCCACTCCCTGCAGGGTCTCCCCCAGCAGGCCTGTCAGCTGGAGCCCCGTGTTGGGACGGAGACTGGTCATGTTGCTGCCTCAGGGTGGCTTGGAGCCCCTCGAGGTCACTGACCCCACTTCATAGACTTGGCCAGAGTGGGGAGCTCAGCCCTTACCCCCAGCTCAGGTCAGGACCTGGGCCTGCCCTGGCATTTGGAGGGTCTCTGCCCCTCAGTTGGCCATGGAGAGTCCAGGGCCCTTCTCCGGGGATCCTGCCTCTCCCTGGACCCTGCAGAGGCCCCGCTGGGATGGGGCACCACACGCCGGCTGCTGGCCCCAGGCTGGAGGGCAGCTCTGCTTGCCCCTGACTGTGTCTACTACGCACTTCACCCCACAGGGAAGCTGGGCCAGGCATCCTGCCAGGCTGACGAGTTCCGCTGTGACAACGGCAAGTGCTTGCCGGGCCCGTGGCAGTGCAACACCGTGGATGAGTGCGGTGACGGCTCTGACGAGGGCAATTGCTCGGCGCCTGCCTCCGAGCCGCCGGGCAGCCTGTGCCCCGGGGGCACCTTCCCCTGCAGCGGGGCGCGCTCCACACGCTGCCTGCCCGCCGAGCGGCGCTGCGACGGCACTCAGGACTGCGGTGATGGCTCCGACGAGGCTGGCTGCCCCGACCTGGCCTGCGGCCGGCGCCTGGGCAGCTTCTACGGCTCCTTCGCCTCCCCAGACCTGTTCGGCGCGGCCCGTGGGCCCTCGGACCTTCACTGCACGTGGCTGGTGGACACACAGGACCCACGGCGCGTGCTGCTGCAGCTGGAACTGCGGCTGGGCTATGACGACTACGTGCAGGTATACGAGGGCCTGGGCGAGCGTGGGGACCGCCTGCTGCAGACGCTCTCCTACCGCAGCAACCACCGGCCCGTGAGCCTCGAGGCCGCCCAGGGCCGCCTCACCGTGGCCTACCACGCCCGTGCCCGCAGCGCCGGCCACGGCTTCAACGCCACCTACCAGGTGAAGGGCTATTGCCTTCCGTGGGAGCAGCCGTGCGGGAGCAGCCGCGAGGGCGACGTGGACGACGCGGGCGAGCAGGGCTGCTTCTCGGAGCCGCAGCGCTGCGACGGCTGGTGGCACTGCGCCAGCGGCCGGGACGAGCAGGGCTGCCCCGCCTGCCCCCCCGACCAGTACCCCTGTGAGGGTGGCAGCGGCCTCTGTTACATGCCGGCTGACCGCTGCAACAATCAGAAAAGCTGCCCCGGGGGCGCCGACGAGAAGAACTGCTTCTCCTGCCAGCCGGGCACCTTCCACTGTGGCACCAACCTGTGCATCTTCGAGACGTGGCGCTGTGACGGCCAGGAGGACTGCCAGGACGGCAGCGACGAGCATGGCTGCCTGGCGGCCGTGCCCCGCAAGGTCATCACCGCTGCGCTCATCGGCAGCCTGGTCTGCGGCCTGCTACTCGTCATTGCCCTGGGCTGCGCCTTCAAGCTCTACTCCCTGCGCACGCAGGAGTACAGGTGGGCGGCGGGGCCAGGGCCTCGCTTTCCTCCTGTCTCTGGAGCGAGGCCCTGGGCTCACTGTTCGTACAGCTGTGGGCTTGTGAGCTGGGGCTCATCCACACGGGGCTTCTCGGGTCTGGGCACCTCGGGATGTCCGGATGGAAGGACGGGGTCCCGCGTCCTGCTGCGGAGCCCCCGTGGGAGGCGGGAAGTGGGGTGTCCCCACAGCCCCGCCATGCTGCCCTTCTGCCCTTGCTTTCAGGGCCTTTGAGACCCAGATGACACGCCTGGAGGCTGAGTTTGTGCGGCGAGAGGCACCCCCGTCCTATGGGCAGCTCATTGCACAGGGCCTCATTCCACCTGTGGAGGACTTTCCCGTCTACAGTGCGTCACAGGTGAGCCAGAGGGCGTGAGACCCCACCGGCCAGACCTCAGAAAACACCCAAGACAGGGAGGCCGAGGGACCAGGTCGGAAAGCGTGCGGCCAGGCTGGTCCAGGGGTCGAGGGAGGCGGGAGATGAGGCCTGGACAGGGTGACATAGAAGGCCATGGCCGGGGAGGGGACAAGTTGGTCTCTGGGTCCTCGGGGGTCGTTCTGACCTCTGCCCCCTCAGCCGCCGCCCCACCCTCCAGGCCTCGGTGCTACAGAACCTTCGCACGGCCATGCGGCGACAGATGCGCCGGCACGCCTCCCGCCGCGGGCCCTCCCGCCGCCGCCTTGGCCGCCTCTGGAACCGGCTCTTTCACCGACCGCGGGCACCGCGCGGACAGATCCCGCTGCTGACGGCTGCGCGCACCTCACAGACGGTGCTGGGCGATGGGCTCCTCCAGCCGGCACCGGGGGCTGGCCTAGACCCCCCGGCACCCCTAACAGACACAGGCAGCCCAGGGGCAGCCGGGGAGGGGCCCCCCGGCGCCCCTAGCCACGCACCGGAGGTGGGGCCTTCTGTGCCGCCCCCCTCGGGCCTGCGGGACCCAGAGGCCAGGCCAGCGCACAAGGACAGGAAGGCCGGCAGGGACCCTCTGGTGGACAACCCAGCCCCTGTGGACATGCCTCGGGCGTCCTGCTCGGCCCAGGGCCCTCACCCCCCGGCCCCCACTGCCGGCAGCACCCTAGGCCCCCACCCACCAGAGCCACTGGGTGTCTGCAGGAGCCCCCCGCCACCCTGCTCCCCAACGTTGGAGGCCAGTGACGACGAGGCCCTGCTGGTCTGCTGACCCGCCGGACACGCTGATGACCGCCACAGCCCCGCTTTGTAACCAGGGAATACACAGTCGTTTCTACCCTGCCTCCGTGTCCTTCTTTCTTACGGAGAGGCCCACCCAGAAGCGCAGCCGGCTTCCTGGCCAGCGCCCTGGCCCCCCTGCTGGGCGTGGTGGGCAGGGGACTGCAGGGGGTTGAACGTGGGGCGAGGGTGGAGTGATGAGCCCGCCCTCTGCAGGGCCCCAGGGTACACAAGATACCTTGGGGCCCATGCCTACCTCCCCTGACTCTATTCTGGGAATCCCTTTCCAGAGAAGCGGGGGGGCCAGGCCAGGGCCCCCTGGAGTGTCTCCTGTGGCTTCTCCCTTTTCACCCTGTGGGGCACCAGAGCTGTCCCTGGACTGAACAGGGACACGGGTACATCAGACCTAGTCCACGGTGGGCACTCTGGTGGCATGAACCCTCCTGCATCCTCACAGCAGACCCCGGAGGAGCTGGGCTAGGAGGCTTCTGCCCCCAACCTCATGCTTGTGGGGTCAGCGCGGGCCTGGCCAGGTTGATGCCCTTTGCCCTCTGGCTGAGGGGTCAATCTCCCAGGCAGTACTGCGGGGCTGGGAAAGTGGGCACAGGGTAGAGAAAGCCCACGGGGTCTCTTGCAGGTCCTGAGGGCCCCGGAAGATGTTACTTGATGCTTTCTCAGGGGACAGAGGCTGAGGCACCAGTTGCCAGCAGGCAAATCCATCCCGTCCTGTCGCAAAGCCTCAGTTTTCCCACCTGTAAACCAGGGCCAGGCCGTGGGCTTTGAAGTCCTGACACTCACTCCGTGGGGGTTTATGGGAAGAAAGGCAGTTCCAGTGGGAATCCCGGGCTCTCCTGGGTGACCGGGCCTCCAGCAGGTGTCGCAGGGCCTGGGGGAGGGGCACACCCAGCGGCTTCCCAATCCTCCATGTCCCTTTGGGGCAGGGGCGGCTCCGGACCCCACGGTGCCAGCCCCGGAGAGGGAGTGCCTGGCTGAAGCGGCAGAGCCCCCGAATGCCAAGGGCCTCCTCCTGGGCCTGCCGGGCCCCCTTCTCCAGCCAGCTCCACGCGTGCCCCCCACCGAGGGGTGCCCACCACCGAGAGGTGCCCACCAGGGACTCACCTGAGACAGGTACACCACCAGCCCTGTTTTATTCGTAGACCTTTCCAGGAAAAGCTAGCGGGGCAGCGCTGACAGGGGACCCAGTCCCACATCTTCAGGGCTCCTTACCACAGGCCTCTAAGAGTAGGATCTCTTTTTTTCCCCAGGAAAAAAAATTTTTTTTTTTTTTTTTTTTTTGCAAAAACACCTCCTCATAAACAACATGTAAACAGAAACAGCTGCTTCAAGGCTCCACAATGTCTCATTGTGTCTTCAAGGGCTTGTCCGTGGCGGCGGGCAGTGGGGAGGGCTGGCAGGGGCCATTTTCCTCCTCCTCCGGGGAGCCCTGGGGGTAGACCACGAAACACAGCTCCTGGCCCCAGCGTGTCATTGACTCTGAGGACAGACAGACAGGCCGACAGATGGACCCTGGGGTCTGACCCTGTGGGACAGGGGTCCTCAGGGAGCTGCTCCCTCTGCGCATGGGACCTGGACACTTGGGCCAAGCCACGGGGAGACACTTGGTGGCGGTTGGGCCCCTTGTGGCCACCGCAGCTGCCGGGAGACCCCGCTCTAGGGTGAGCCCCTAGAGGGTTCCATCTCCAGGCCCCGCCCCGTCGGGGAGCTGCCTGGCTCACCTGTGAGTCGGTGCACACACTTTGGTTTGCTTCTCCAGAACACTCCCAGGAAGAAGATGGGCACCCCCGTGAGGATGATGATGACGCCCACCCCGCACACCATGGGCTCTGAGATGAAGCTGAAGACGAGCAGGAACGCCCAGAAGACCAAGTATGCGACGGGGACGAGGAGGTTCACCTGGGGGCAGCGAGCGGCAGTGCCAATGGCGCGGGACCCCGGCTCTCCTGCCCCACCGCCCCGGGGGTCTGAGGCCCTTTCCCCCCTCTCCTGGGAGCTGAGGCCCGAGGGGCCCCCTTCTGCCAGCAGCCCAACTGGCCACATTGTTGAGGGCCTGTCAATTTCAGCGGCTCTGAGCTCCACACAGCTACTGTACGTGCGCTTGCCACTCGCACTCGGCTGAAGGCGAATGATTTTGGGGTGTTTCACATTCCAGGCCCTGAGCACTTCTCCAGCTCAAGGATTTATATGCAAACGGGAGGACTTTCCTTTTAGCTCGGTTTTGGGTCTTCTGTTTTCTGTGGGCTCGTGGAGTCCTGTGTGACCGTAATGTCTGAGCCTTATTTTCCTGTCCGTGAAGTGGGAGTATTCACAGCACCCACCCCACGGGGCTGCCTTAAGGACTGGATATGCCAGTGCACACAGGGCCCCGGGCAGGGCCCAGCACACAGCAAAGGCTGGCCTCACCATCGTTGCCGTCGCCGACCCGGGTGCCCACACGGGTAAAGGGGTGGCCCTGACCTCTTCCGGCACGTGGCTGGCTGGTCCCCTCCGGGCCTCACCTTGATGGGCCTGTGGAGCGCCGGCCACCTCCAGCGTAGCACCAGCAGGCCCAGGATGGTGACGCCATAGCAGAGGTAGTTGATGAAGGACACATAGTTGATGAGCGTGTACGTGTCTCCCACAAGCATGATGACTGCCGTCGCCCCACCCTGGAAGAGGACTGGGCTGAGGGCTGACTCCCACCTGCCTCCTGTCAGCCCAGCAGGGGACCCGGGCCTGCCCACTGGGGCCAGGAGGTCAGCGAGCCCGGCCCTCCCGCCCCCACCAGGGCCAGGCCTCATCCCTGCCATTACCCATGCTGCTGCGTGGCCCTGGCTCCCCGCCTTGCGAGCCTGGGTCCCCCAACTTACGCAGACGAGGAGGGCAGGGATAGGGGTGCAGTGTCTGACATGGATCATGGCCAGCAGGCTGGGCAGGTGTCCCTCTCGGGCTCCAGAGAAGCACAGTCTGGGGGGTGGGGACAGAGGTGTGTGGGAGCCATGAGCCCAGCCTGGGGCCTCGCTGCTGGCCAGATCCCGACCTCAGTCTAGACCTGATGGCCCTCTTGAGCCGTCACCTCCGACTCCCTGCTCTGGGCCCCAGCAGCCCCACTCGGCAGTCCTTCCCCTCATCTAGCCCGCCTCCCTCTTGCTTTCTGTTCCTCGCAATTGGGATCAGACATCTGCTTCCGGGGAGTTCATGGTCCCAGCTTCAGGTGGGCCCCACCGGGCAGGACTTCACTTCCTCCGGCCCCCAGCACGGCTCGTGTGCACCAGGGCAGCCGCCTTGCCTCACCTTGACCACCCTCTTCCCAGTCCAGTCACCTGGAGGAGGTGAACAGGTAGCCATTGATCCCTCCGAAAGTGGAAAGTGCTACGGAGACGGGCATGACCCAAGAAAAGTAGCCCAGCAGCTTCTCCCCGAAGGTCTGGGTGGGCACAGAAGAGAGGGGGCGCGTGAGGCGGGGTGGAGGCCGGGCAGGAGCCAGGACCAAGCGGGGCCCCACTCACCACGGCCACTGCGTTAGAGGCCAGCAGCTCCTGGGGGGACATGGCAGTGAAGTAGGCGACATTGGTGAAGGTGTACACGAAGGTCACCAGGGGGATGGAGATGAAGATGGCGCGAGGTAGGTTCCTGGGGACAGTGGTGCAGTGTGTCAGCATCAGCCCTTGCGGGGCTGGGGGACGGGGCCTCAGGGTGGTGGGGCGTGGCAGGGGACCCAGCAATGGGAGCAGCTTTGAGCCTCCACCGCCTGGGTCTGCTGGGGGCCTTGGGGCAGCGAAGGGGGCAGCACTGCTGTCCGTCTCCCCCCTAGTCCCCAGCCCAGCCTTGGCACAGGCTGGTGGGAGGAAGGGCAGATGGAGAAGGGGCCACTCATATCCTGGGGAGGGGGGCGGATCTAATGTCTGGGACATTGCATAGAGCCAAAATCAGACTTGAAAATCCTCAAAGTGCCCTTAGAGCTCAGACCAGGGTCCCCCGGGACTCCCATGAGCCCCAGCTCCAGCTGTAACTGTTCACGGTCAAGGTCCCAGCTGAGCGTCAGAGGGAGCCATTGGCTTCGTTTTTAGGGACCATGTTGTGCGCACATGTGTAATTGTTGGCTAAATGCAGATAGCTGGATCCATTTACAGCGAGACAATGATACTCAGTGTTTCTGAGGCCCAGCAAGGGGCCGTGACTCATCCACAGCCATACAGAACAGGGTCAGGCTGGAACACAAGCGTCCCGGCTGCCTTTCCAGAGCCGTTCCCGGTGGGTAGCAGTGCGGTCAGGCAGATGACCAGGCCGGCCAGAGGTGACAGCGGCTCTGTGTGGGGAGGCCGCCTCTCCCACCCCACGCCACACCCCTTCCCAGGGCCTGGCCGGAGCCCCGCTCACTTTCGAGGGTCCACCAGCTCCTCGGTGACATAGTTGAGGAAGTTCCAGCCGCTGAAGGCAAAGGAGCCCTGGAGGAAGGCCAGGGCCAGGTGACCCACGGATGGCGTCATCCAGAAGTCGAAGGCATTGCTGGGCCTCAGCTCCTCGAAGTGTCCTGGGGGTCCGGAGGTCAAGGGTCAGCGTCGTCTCCCTGCCCTGTGCCCAGCCCCCACCCCCACCCCCACAGCCCGGCCCTACCTTGGAAGATCTGGACAAAGCCCACGCCAATGATGAGTGACAGGGCCAGCAGCTTCCCGCCGGTGAACACGTCCTGGATGCGCGTGGCCCAGCGCACGCTCGAGCTGTTCACCCACGTCAGGAGCACTGAGGAGGAGGGGCGGGTGGCTGGGTGGGCGGGCACCCAAGGCCAAGCCCCTCGAGGTGGGCCACAGCCAAGGCCAGCCCGGGCTGCAGGAGGGCGGCGTCCCCTGCAGCTGCTGGAGTGCCAGAAGCCCAACCCCTGAGGCCGACTTCACGGGGACTGACAGCTGGAGGGACCTCCCCCGAAAGTCCCCCCACGGGGGCAGGGAGCAGGGTGGGCCCTGGGGACAGACGCCCAGCCCGGCCCCACTGTGGACACTCACTAAGGCAGGCCATGGAGAGCGCACGGGAAGCGGCGGCCGGGGGGATGCAGTTGGGGAACACGGGCTGCAGCACGTAGTTGGAGAAGGTCATGGAGATGACGGCCAGGCTGGTGGGGTACATGATGAGGACGGCGCTCCAGAGCAGCAGGAAGCTGGAAGGAGTGAGGGCCCGAGTGGCTGGGGCCTCCCGGCACCCTCCCAGCCAAGGGGGCCTGGATATGTGGAGTGGGGCTGCACCCTGGGCCCCGGCACCCGGAGCTGCTGTGGGGGCCAGATACCAGCTTTGGTCCAGGGAGGCAGGGCCAACCTTGTTGAGGTCTCTGCTCTATTTATGAACTGTTTCAACAGAGACAGCGTTCAGCGCAAACAGCTACGGGCTGCCCTTGGGCAGGTGTGGAGAGAGACTCGGGAACCAAGCACTTTCCTAATGGCCACCTAGTCCCCGGTCACAGGCTGCTCCTGAGCTGCGGTGGGCTGTCCCGCGACCTCCAGTCACAGCTCCAGCTGTAGTTCTCAGCAGAGCCCTGTGGCTGCAGGTGGCTGACTCTGAGCTGTGATCCCCGAGGGACTGGACCTTGCAAAGACCCCTGGCTGGGGTGACAGGGATTTATATCCCATCCGCCAGAATCTCACCTCTGCAGGGTGCCCACGTGGGGGTGAGGCCCGACCTGTTCCTGGGGGCTCCGTCTGCACCCAGGGGAGTGCCTGTCCGTGGGGGTGGTCCTAGTCCCCTGTCCGTCCCACCCTGAGGGTAGGGATTGCCTCATCCGGGGACACCAAGCTCAGTGGCTTCCTCTCGGTCCTCACCTTTGCTCTGTAGCCCTGCTTCCTTACCTCTCGCTTTGCACCACCTCTCCCCCTTTGGCTTCTGGGACATCCTAGCTCCATGACCCTCCTCCCATACTGGGTGCTCCCCGCTGCCCACCCTCGATGCTGGGTGCCCTTGGGGTGGGTCTCGGGTCCTCCTCTCCCTTCCATCTTCTTGAGTTTTCTGCCACGCAGCAAAATTCTTCTGCTTTCTCGGGTCCCAGGCCCCTTTGAGGACCCTCTCCCCAGAGGAGAACAGCAGGGCCCCATCCTCCACTGCCCTGTTAAAGGCCCCTGACCACATCCCTCGGAACCAAACTTTAAATACTTCAGCCTAGACCTTTCGTCTGCGCTCCAGATCCCCCACCCGAGGCCTGACTCAGCGTCTCCCCGGACATGCCACCGACCCCACCTATGCGTGAGACCCCAACCTAAAATCTCCCTCTCCCCGTCCCGGGAACCACCATCTATGGGGTCTCTCCAAGCCTCTCCTTCATGCCACACTGGCCACCACGTCCTCCCGATTTAGACTCCTGAATGGTCCCGGAATCTTCCTGTACCTTTGTTCTGGTCCTCAGCATGGCTCAGCTGGATAGCTGCAATAGCTTTGATGGCCCTCCACCTACAGCTGCCCCGTCCCCGACAAGCCCTGGCGTCTACGATGGATCTGACCTCACCCGTGGCCGTGGCAGACAGACCAAGCTCGCCCAGGCCACCACCCTCTGTATGTGCTACCCCTCCTGGTCGGCCAACAAAACCCCACCCTTCCTCCAAGCCTGGGCACAAGTGTGGTTTTTCCTGGGAGTCTTCTCTGGGGGGTGGGCACCCCGTTCTCTTAGCTGCTGGGCTGCAGCCTCTCACACATCTTCAAAGCAAGGATCCTCCTGGTCTTAATCACATTTGAAGGATTATTTCCCTTCTGCACTGTAAGCAACTTGAAGCCCGGGATGGATCTTTTTATCATTGCGTCCTGGCCCTCAGCACACAGTAGGTGCTCAGCTAACGTTCACGTGAATAAAGGAACCTCGGGAGCTATTTAAAGGGAACGTCTTGCAGGGCATTGATAGGACTATCATGCACCCCCCACCCTGCCTTTAGTTTACTAACGTCAAGGTGTCCCTGACTGGATGTCGGCATGATCTAGAGAGGTTTCCATAGTAAGGTCCTCCCCACCCATAAGCACCTGGGTGGGGAGTGGGGCTTAGAGGAGCTCTATTTAAAAGGAAGCACAGAGAGGTCAAGGGGCCAGCTGGAGTAGGGTGGGCATTGGTCCCGCCCACCCTGGCCTTAGAAGGCTGCCCAACACCTCCCCTTCCCTCCGTCTACTCCCATGACCTCCCTGCAATGTGAGAAGCAGAGGAGGACACTGGGGTCCTGGGCCCAGCTGGCCGTCTATCCTGGAGAGGCTGTCACCACCCCACAGCTGCTGGTGCCCCACACTCACCCAGCCAGGCCCCCGAAGATCTCGGTGACATAGGCGTAGTCCCCACCAGACCTGGGGATGGCGACTCCCAGCTCCGCGTAGCACAGTGAGCCCAAGGCAGTGATGCCCCCACCCAGGACCCAGACGAAGAGGGCCAGACCCACGGAGCCACAGTGCTCCAGGACTCCCTTGGGGGAGATGAAGATGCCCGAGCCGATGATGTTTCCTGTGGGGGGAAGAGGTGGGGAGGCATCAGGTCTGGGCGCCCCCAGCAGGGCAGCCTCTCTGTGCAGCTCCAGATGCTGCAGTGAGGAGGGGAGCCCGGGCTGCTCCCTCAAGGAGGAGGGTGGGCCTGGAGGCACCCTCCTGGGTCCCTCAAACCCTGCAAGTCCCACTCTGGCCACCTCAGCTCCCCTCCCCAGCCCCTGGCATGGCGAGTGGCACTTTGTCCAGACAGGCTCCACTGCCAGAGATGGGTCCTGTTCTGAGTTCCTCTGCCCCCAACTAACAGCCATGAGGTGGGGCAAGCACAAGCAGTGGCAGAGTGGCAGCCACTCCAGTGCATCCCCCCAGGGCCCAGGCCCAGTCCCTCGCCCCTGGCCAAGGCCTCCAGGCTTGTCAGCCTCCAGCCACCTGGCTTCCTCCCAGCCTGGCCAGAGCTGGCCACCTAAAGCAAGACCTTGACCATGATACTCTCTTGCCACCTTCCTATTGGCCGAAATTCAAACTCATGGAGTGGCTTGGGGACTGGCACCTCCTCCACGAAGTCCTCCTTGACCACACCGGTAAGGCTCCTCCTCCCACTTCACAGCCCCAGACCCTGCTCCGTACTTTATTTCTTTACCTTCCATCTCCTCTTTCCCTATTAGAGAGCCCTTTGCCCGCTGGGCTCCTCCCTGACCTAGGACCCATGCTGTGGACACAGACTCGGAAGAGACCTGGTTTCCCGGCATTGTTAAAATGTTTCAGGTCCTGGGCAAGGGTCAGTGGGGTGAGGGAGAGGAGCTGGTGCATTTTCAGGGCTGGGGGTTGCTTAGCCGCCGTCACGGAAGGGATGGGGTGGATGATGGCATGCTGGCAGGACTCAGTTGGCTCAGCCTGGGGTCTGGACACAGACGCCTCTCCTTTGGGAACAGCTCACTGGTTGCAAACAGGGGTCACTGCTCTAATCCTAGGACCACAGTGGGAAACTCTGGCTGGGGCTCAGGAGACAGGGAACCTCTCGAGTCCCGTCTATACAATGGGACTGCTGTGAGGATTCAGCAAGGTACTGTATGGGAAGCCTCAGCTCATTCACAGCTGTATCCAGATGTCCTTTGTATCTTTGCGTGGTTCTGTGTGTACCGTCTGCGACCTCACCTTGGGCCTCCAGCACACAGTTGGTGCTCAATACACATCTGTTGAGCAAACCACAGGATGAGTGAACGGCCCGACGCCCAAAGTGGCACCAATGCCACTGAAGGACTGAACTCCTCCTCTGTGAAGTGGGGGGCAGCAGTCTCCACTCGACCCCCCCCCAGAAGGGGACTGTGGGCAGTAGCAGAGAGGGTGGCTAGCTTCCAAGACGTGGGTGCCAGGGGAATCTGCCAGGTCATGGGTCACAGAAAGCCTGGCCTGCCCATGGGCTGAGTCTGAGTTTTGGAAGGATGGGCACTGTGGGGCACTCATGGGGTCTGGGCGCAGAACAATGGGAAACGCTCCGAGGGCCACGCTGTGGGCTGCAGAGCAGGTTCCCAGGATGAGTAAAACGCTGAGCACCCGCTTAGCCCTGAGGTCCCTGGCAGTTAGGGCAAAGTGGGCAATGTTCTGCATTACCCGGGTCTCACCATCTCTGCAAGTGAATCAGACCACATCACTGGTGATCTGGACTAGGGCCTGCCCAAGAGGAAATAATCCCAGAACCCACAGGCCACATGAAGAAAAAAGCAACACTGCTGGGACCCGGGGCTCAGCCCCTCCACGAGATGGGCCCCACCTGCCGGGGCCCGGGGGCGGGGAGCGCATGTCCGTCAGGGCAGACCCTGCCCGCTCCACCTGCCAGGCCCACAGGCGGGTCTGGACGAGGACACAGCTGGGGCGGCCCATCTGCATGCGTTCCCTGTCCACAGTCCTACCCCACCCCCACCCGGCCGGCACAGATTTCCAGTCTGGACGGCCACGACGCCCCACTTAGTTTTCTAGTCACGTCCCAGGAGCCCTAAATACATCCAGATAAGGAGGAAAGAATTCCTGCCTCCCAGCCCCAGAGGTAAGCTGTGTCCTCAGCTCGCTTCCAGGGAGAGAGGGGCCGCTTCCTTCATCTACCACGGGGCCCAGGGCCTGGGTGGGCTGCTCGGCTTCTAAAGAGCCTTGGCGTTCGCTCTATCCAGCAGTAGAGCCTCTGTTCTCAGGACCTGGTGGAGTGGGATTTGCCAAAAGCCAGGGAGGTTGGAAGCCAGTGGGGGCTGGGTGGCCTTGGAAGGAGCTGGGTGCATCCAGGGCCCTGAGCCACCCACCTCGTGGGGACGCCCACCACCCTACGCAACTCAGCCTGACAGGGCCTCACGAGGGTAGCCCTCGGGGAAGCCACACCTGGGAGGCTGGGATTTGAAAGGGACACATCACTCGTCTGTGCCCAGCGGCTGAAGACTCCGCGGACGGGCCGGGGTGAGGATCGCTATTGTTTTAGACACATGGCTGCAGGCTACAGTGCAGGACTTCTCCCCACGTGGCTCAAAGGAACACACGTGCCAGCAGGTGGCTCTGAGCTCTCTGGGGGCCTCTTCCTCTGGGCCTGGACAGCCTCCAGCATCTGCCTCAGGTCTGTGCTGGAAGGTGGCAAAAAGCCCCATGGAGGTCCACTGGCCGCTCTGGCACCGTGTGGGCTGGACTGGGCTCTGCGAGGAGCAAGATGGGCGGCAGGCCTGGGTGAGGGGCAGCGGGCAGGGAGGAGGAGGGATGCTGCTGAGGACAGGGGTGGGCGTCTCCAGCACTGAACGATGTCAGGAGCTGTGGAGAAGGGACCACGGAGCTGCAAGGCAGCGCTGCAGGCGAGCCTGCCCATGCCTCCTGGTGGTGGGTCCAGGCCTCCCTTCTCAGCCCTCATGTTCAGGGCCAGCAGAATCAGCTCTGCCCGACTGGGTGAACTGCAGTGGACAAGCCCAACCCTTGGGGCATCCTGCTCTGGAGGAAGAGGAGGGGGGGCAGGAGCCACACACTGTGGGATGGGCCGGGAGATACTGCTGAGCACCCGGTCAGGTGTCTGATTGACGGCAGGCTGGAGAAAGGTGGGTTCTGAGACCTCCGTGTTCCCATCCACCCAGTGGGACGGCTGCTCTGTGGTCCTTGCAGGTCCTTGGCGGGGCCAGAGCTCCGAGGAAGGTGGGCGAGGATGTGAGTCCCTCAACTAGGGGGCCCCCCTCCAGTTTCCTCCCGCCCCCCTTCCCTCAGGCCAAGCTGGGTGGTTTTTATCACATTAAGATGTGTGGCCTGATGGGGCTTACCCGGCTCCGTGAAGGAACGAAGAAAGAGCCATTGTTCCCCCGGCTGCCGCGGTGAGTGCTGACCTATTTCTGGGAGGCATGAGCCGACCACGGAGGTCACAGGGGTGGACTGCGGAGGTCGTGTGGGTGGAAGGGGCCAGCTGCCCTCGGTGTGTGTGTGGGGGCCGTGCAGAGTTGGATCTGGGGGAGGGGTCAGGGACGTCCTGTCAGGCTGCTGGCACCGCCCCTCATCCCTAGAACACTTTCAGGAGTCTGTTGTGTGACCTCAGGCCCGTGCTGCTCCCTGGGCCTCAGTTTCCCCTTGTGCCAGTAAGGACCACTGAGCTAGGGGGCAGCAGAGGGCTGGTGCAACACTGACTTTGGCTGAGGCACTGCTGGGCAGGAGGGACGCATCCTGCACATCTGCACGGGGCCCGAGGAAACACAGTTTCTGCTTGGAGCCCTCTGTCCCGCATTGCGGCAGGTCTCTCCGCAGCTCAATGGCTTCCCAGAAGCAACGCCACCCCCAGGAAGCCCTCCCTGATCTCCCATCTTGATTCCTATAACCTGGCCCCTGCTCCGCTCCCATGGTACCTGGAGTATGGCCAGGAAGTGACTACTTTATTTGCCATCCTGGTGGACCCTGCATTCCCAGAGGGCGGGGTCTGTGCCCTGGCCTGCTGAGATGAGAAGTCCAAGCCCCCTAGAAGGACAGGGAACCCCCAGGGCCTAGGTCCCCTTACACGTACCTGGCCTCTTCAGCGAGCAGGGCCATGGCGGGGCCTCCTCCTGCCACGCTGGCCTGCTGGCCTGGCAGAGAGTAGCTCAGGGCTCCTGGGTCTGATCAGGGGCTGGCCATAGGCCAGGCCTCCTCCTCTTGCCCTGGGCAATGAGTCCCAGCACCTCCCGGTTAGGATGTGACCCATGAGGGCTCTGGGGAAGAGCTCCAAATCCCCGTTGGTAAGTCCCAAGGCCCCTGAGGCCATGGGCGGGGCCAATTATTAGTTGAGAACCCCTACATCTGGGTTTGAATCCCAGATCCCTCACGATGGGAGGCTGTGGACAAGGTACTTCACTCTCCGAACCTTCTTATCTGTAAGATGGGGAACTGAGGCAGTGATGTGGGTCTGTTCCCACACTGCCTGCTCCATCAGAGGCCCCAGGAAGTGCTTATGGGTCTCACTATTGTCATCTACCTTGGAAACACCCCAGGCCACCCAAGCTGGCCCTTGGATCTGAACACTCTGGGACCTCACCACCCTGGGGTCAGCAGCCAGAGCCCTGCTTTGGGGGCCCTGCTATTGCTCTGGGTGAAGCCTGTGACTCCCAGCACAGCGTCCTTACGGTGAGCATGTCAGGCACCCCTCCAGGGGGACAGCAGTGCCGCTGAGGTGTTGGCAGAACTCCAGGGAGGTGAGTGGGGACGTTTCCAGGACATGCCTGGAATTGCCAATTGGTCAGCGTGCGCCTCCGGCCTAACCCACTTTCCTTTTGGGAGAGGGGTGAGCAGGAGAGTGGAACTCTCTCCCCCGGACCTGCTCATCTCACAGTCTTCCCAGGTCAATTAATGGCAAACCATGCCCCCAGCTGCGCAGGCCCCACCCTGCTGTCACCCAGACTCCACTCTGCTATACCCTGTGTCCAGGTCAACACATTTGGCTCAATCTTCCAAACACACCTAGGACTGAACCTCCTCTCAGCACCTCCACTGCTGCCATGCTGCTCTGAACCACCATCATCTCTTACCCAGGTGACTCAAGTACCCTCCCGACTGGGCTTCCAGCTTCTGCCTCTTCTGCCCACAGCCTCTTCTCCACAGTAAGCCCCAGGCCATGCCATGCCGTGCCACCCCATACCATCCCACCCCACGCCATCCCATCCCATCTCATCCCGCCCCATGCCATCTCATGCCATCTCTCTTCTGCCCAAAGCCCTCCCAGGCTCCCACCTGACAAAGAGAAGAAGGCAAAGTCTTTACTGCGGCTGCAAGGCCTACACAGACTGCACCCCATCTCACTCCTGACTCATCTTCTACCTACAATCCTCCCTCCTTCACTTTCTCACCTTAGCGCTTATCATTACCCTGGCAGCTAAACATTCAGCTTGCTCATCTGTTTGCTCTTTGACTCCCATGCTGGAATGTCAGATCCAGGAGGACAGGGATTTTGTCTGTCTTGTTCCCTGTTGTGTCTCCAGCACCTAGAACAGTGCCCAGCACTGTCCAGTACCTACCTGTTGAATAGATGAATGAGCGTGACCAGAGCTAGCAGGCCCCATCCTTGTAGCCAGAGCTGCTTCAGCCCCCGACGGTGTCTTAGAGCACACCAAGGGCATCTGACCCTGGGCTGGTTGCAGCCTCAGGTCCCCAGTTTCCTCATCTGTAAATTGGGGCTATGGTGAGGTACAGACAGCCTCCTGTGTGGTTTTATGTCCCCTCAGGGTCCCGGGGAGGGTGGGTTGGGGTTCTGGAGAGGGCTATCCTCTGAGCAGCCCAGCACCTCCAGCCCCAGAGACAACGGAGGGAACTGGCCATGGCTGGATGAGTAGAGATTGGCTCCTAAGGAGACAGGGTTCGTGAAGGAGGTCCCTGAGTTCTAGAACATATTTGAGCCTGATCCACAAACATGGGCTGGATATTTGAGTCAAAGGGAGAGAGCGAAGGACAGGACAGTCTGGTCAGTAGACCTGGCTGATTCCCGCTCTGCTGAACCTGGGCACGACCCTTCCTTGGGTGTGGATGGGGAGGGAGCTGGTTGTGGTCCCTGAGTCAGGACAAGAGACCCTGTACATACAGCCCTGGGTGGGGGTGGGGGAGTCAGAGGCTATTTCTCTGTCCACCTGTTTGTTCATCTACCCATAGTAGAGTGGCGAGCTCACTAAATCCCGGTTGGATGAGCTCCCAGCTCAATCCTCAACCTTCCCCCATCATGGGCTCTGCATCTGGCCCCAATTTTGCCCTGCACCAGAGCAGTGTGAAGAAAGGCACTGGATTGGGAGAAGAGTCCAATTCTGGTTCCAAATTCCAAGTCCACCACTTGCAGCATTGTCATTTAACTTCCAACCTCAGTTTCTACATCTGTAAAATGGGTATAAAAATTCCCATCTTGCAAGGCAGGCAATCAAATGAGATAAAGGGAGAACATGTTTTCATAATGAGGTAAGGTACGTTTTTCTGAATAGGCATTGGATGTGGTGATGTCTTGCGCAGTGTCTGCCCCAGAAGGCTCTTTTTCCTCCAGGCTGGCCCGTTCCCCTCCAGTTGTGCTTGCTGTAGCCAGCAGGTGCTGTCCTAAACACATTTTAGGTGGAGTCTTGCTCTAGCCCAAAGCCCTTTTATGTCATTCCATTCCTACTCCTCAGCCTGGGGCAGGGGTTACAAAGGGAGAGAATTATCGGATCTGCTGGGAGGGTCTATTTGGAAGTTTTGGAGATAATAAGCTGCTATCAAACAAGAAAGATTATGGAGGAAGCTATAAAGTTTTCAAGACTTTTAAGGCTAAACTATGACACCTGGGAGACATTTTTTACTTTGACCAGGCTCCCCAGGGCAGGAAGGTGGGGAAAGATGTGGGAGTCTGGGCTACCGGAACAGTGAAAGGGGAGGAAGTGGGGGCCTTCTGGGCATCAGGCTGGGGAGGGCAGTGCAGTGATTCAGCCCACCCCTGCCTCCTCCGTCATCTGTCACCTTCTGGACCAGGTCCATTCTCCCCTTGTCTGTCTCCTGCCCAGTCCAGCCTCCTGCCTGCTGAAACCCCTCAAAGCTCCCCAGGCAGGCTTGTAGGACCACCCCTGAGTGTCCTGGGCTGGAGTCAGGTCATCTGGGTTCTGTTCCTGAGTCCGCCACTCTTGGCTAAGTCACTCCTAACCCCAGCTCAGTCTTCAAGCCCTGAAGCCAAGGGGGCAGTGGACCTGGAACAGCAAAAATGGTACGAAAAGTGGGGGAGCTGTAAGGGCAGAGCTGTACTGCACAGAAAAATTCTTGCAGAATTAGCCTCATCCACTCCCACCATCACCACCAGGGCCCTCTTTTGAGGAGAGAGGAGCCAGCAGCCTCTGCCTGACCTGAGGGGGATGGGAGGCGGGGAGGAGAAGGAGTAGGAATATAGCTCGAGGGTGCTGGGTTTAGCTGAGGCAGCCCAGCAAGGACCACGTCTCTCCCTGCACCTGCCGGGCACTGCGGCTGGCTCCAGACACAGTCAGCCCCTTGACCCCAAGGCCCACCCATGATGTATGGGGCTTCCTCTTCCTGAAGGCACAGCTCCTGGAGAGGGTGTGGGCCAGGGCAAAGCTCTAACCAGTACCCTGGCCAAATCCCTGGAACCAGCCCTTCCTCTCAGCGGTCAAGCAGGGGCACTCTTGCCCAAGAAGGTCTCTGGACCAGATCGGGACCAGCTCCTAGAAGACACCTTTCCAGGTGCAAGTGGGTGAGACAGAGAGGTACCTGCACAGGGGCTGTGTGCTGGGGCAATTCTCAGTGCGAGTGCAGGGGGTGGCCAAGATCTAGACCCCAACCTTGGCCCAGGAGCTCCCAGTGTGGGGGCAGAGGAGGAGGAGGTGAAGACACCAGTCTGCCCTCCTGAGCCCCCAGCTTTTTCCATCTCCAAGGGTCTGAGGATGGGTGGGCAGTGAATGCACAAGCAGCACCCGCTGGCTGGGGAGGGGAAGACTGGGCAGTTGGTAAAGTGAGAGTGGTCAAGACCCTTGCCATTCATCCTTGCAGCCTGTGTCTCCTGGGAGACAGGAGACGGAACAGACTCCTCCCACCACGAAGGTCTGAGGCACCTGGTGTGGATACAGGCACAGGTCTGGGTTAGCCAGTTCCTAAGGCATCAGTGTTCTTGACTTGGGACAGAAGGAGGAAAACCCCACCACTGGTCTCACTGTGCCCTGAGCCCTCTGCCTACCCAGAAATCCCCAAGTGGGGGAAGGATGCACAGACTCATTCTCAGGTGGAGAAGCTGGGCTAGAGAGTGAGAGGATGCAGATGGGATCCCAGCCCAGGAAGCAGCTGGCCTTTCGCAGGCTGGATCTGCCCACCCAAACTGGGCCTCCCCCAGTCACTGGCTGCTCCTCCGCCTCTGCCAGGGTCCTGCTGCAGAATTCTGCACTAATTATATACTCTGAACCGATTTCCCCTCTGGGCTGGCTCTACCTGTCCAGGCTACCCACAGTCCCTCCTGCTTGCGAAGAATAAATCATTCACATGGCACGGCACCTGGACCCTGCACACAGTAGGAACTCAGTTTAAGCCACAAGACTCAGAACTTGGGGCCTTAGCGGGGGTCAGCTTACCGAGTTCCCACACTTGCAAGACCCCCGCACTCAAGGCAGGACCACAGCCATCTCCATGCTACAGACGAGAAGACTGAGGGTAACTGCCTTGCGGAAGTCCGTGGCGAAGTAAAGGTGGGAGGAGGATTCCAGCGGTGGATGGGACCTGCACCTCCTTCAAGCGCAAAAATTCGGGGCACTTGGGGAGGTGGAAACAAGAAGCCCTGTGGCTGCTGTGTGAGGGGAGACACCGCAGGTGCCCCGGGCGGGCATCCCCTCATCCATGTTCTACCGTCTCAGACCGGTAGGCGCGCCCAGAGAGGGGTGCTCCTTGTTCCCTTAGGCCCTACCGCCCCAGGCACCCGCCCGCCCCGCGCCCGCTCACCGATGATGATGGTGCAGGCGCTCACCAGCCCGATCTCCTTCTTGAGCGCTACCCGCTCCGAGGCGCCGGGCCCGGGGCCCGGGCCAGGGGAGGGCGAGGGAGCAGGGCCCGGGTTCCCGCGCCCGCTCGGCTGCTGCGTGTGGCCGGCCATGTCGCTGTCCCGCCGCGTCCCAGCTCCCTGCGCTGCCCCGTCTGTCCGACCAGCCGCCAGGCAGCCCGTCCGTCCGGCTGTCGGTGCGCGCCGCTCCCGCAAGCCGGACAGCGCCCACAGGCGGGCGCATGCGCTGGCCCGGGGCCCTGGCCCTGAGCCCCGGCCCGCGGGGCCCAGGGAGGGGCGGAAGGAGGACCGGCCAGCAGCCCCCTCCCCCACCTTCCTTAAAGGGAACTCCCCGCCGTGGCCCCCACCCTCCCAACGCGGGCCTGGAAGGAAGGAGAGGACTTGGGGCAGACCTAGGAAGAACTTCCTGGACCCAAGAAGGCCTAGGAAGAAGGCCTGGAGTGGGGGCGGGGGAGCAGGGCTCAAAGGCAGGACTCTCCCTGCCCTCAAGGAGACTGAGGAAGCTGGCAAAAATAATAGCCGTCTGTGTATTGAGACCTGCTGTGCGCCAGAGCGGCCATACTCCTTAAATCCTGGCGCGGACCCCTAGAGTGTGTGTACGGGGAGAGGGGTGGAGACTGGGCTCACTCTCCAGGTGAGAGCTGAGGCGCCGGGATAGTAAGGAAGGTCACAGAGCAAGTGCAAACCCTTTCTGATGCCTCCTTGGCTTCCAGACGCTGATTGGGGTGTGTGAGGTATAGCTCTCGGAGGGGTGGGGGCTTTGTCCAGGATCCCCTGGGGTCACGAGACCCTAAGCCCCCCTCATCAACAGTCTGGGGAGACAGGGTTGGGGTGAAGACTCTGGAGCCCCTCACCGTCATCCAGAGGGGACCCAGTGCCTGTGGGGGTCCTGGAAGGGGTTCTGCTCTAAACCTTACCTTCCCCCGCCCTCCGCCGCCCAGCCCGGCTCTGGACTGGGTCCGGCAGGTTCTGCCCGCAGACGCCTGGCCACAGAGTCGGGGCTCAGTGGACTAGAACTCGGGTCTTTGGCGAAGGCCCCTCGTCTCTTGAGTCTCTTCAGTTCAAGAGACGAGGCCACCTCAACTGCCCGGGAGACACGGAGAAGGGGCTGTGGCCCCTGGGGTCGCAGGAGGAGGTAGGGCTTGCAGGGTCCGAGGGAGGCTGCCTCCTCCTCCCGGAAGCCGTCCGGACTGTGCAGCCGGGCCGGCGGGACAGACGCAAGGGGGGCCGCGTCGGGGGCCACCGGGGCGGCGGGGCGGGGCGAGCCTGGCACTGTGCGGCCGGCGGTGGAACAGCCTTTGTCCCTTCCTGGCGGCCGCCGCGACGCGCCGTCCCCTGCATGTGGATGAGGCCGCGCCGGGCGCCCCGTCCTTCCCCCGCCCGCGGCCTCGGGGCTTGCGGGGTGGGGGTGGGGGTCGCCCTGGTCCGACGGGCGGACCGGGGGTTGGGGCGGCGTCTGGGGTCGGGTCCCGGGCTGTGGGAGGAGCATGGGGGGCAGGCGTGGCGGTTCAGGGGGGTTGCGGGCGAGGAGGACCTTCGAAGTCGGGGGCGGGGACCTGGGAGTAGGGGCGGGAAGACCCTGGGGGGACTTGGAGGGGGAGGCCGCCCGGCGAAGCTTCAGCCCTTGCGCTCGCGTCGGAGTGCGGCATTCTTGGCGCCCTCCGCCTCCCGCCCCAGAGACGCGTTCAGGCCGACTCTCTTAAAGGAGACTGGCGCAGGCGTGGGGCGGGGGAGGCGCACGAGCTGTGCAGACTCTTAATTGTCTTGGGGGGGTGGGGGTGTCTGACCCGTTCACTCTCCGCACGCACTTGCCCTTGCAACGCTAGGGTCTGTTGGGAGAGGGTCCTGCGGGGGCTGGTGCCCCCGGGGGTTGGTGGTTTTCGAAGGGGAGCCTCTCACGGCACCTGAAATGTGTGGTCAGTGTTCGAGGAGAAGCGGTGACTCTAGGGCACTGCACAGGATGGAATTTGCATGTTGTTTTCCAGGCCCACAGTTCAGGAGGTGCTTTTAGTGTCATAAACTAGAACCTGCAAACCCTGATGGGAACAAAGAGTTGGCAAGATTGTTTTACCATCCGAAAGACAAGCAGTAGAAGTCACCACGTAAACAGGAAGAAAAAAAAAAGGAAAACCATAGGATCTTCTCAACACATTCAGAAGACAGTCTTCCACGTTTTAAACAAACCAAAAGACTCTTAGCAAATTAGACATAGAAGAGAACTTGCTCATGCCCTCCTGAAGGCCTGTCTCTGTCATGGCTCACTCTGTAGGTTTGTGAACCTTGACACTGTCCATCGCCCCCTCACACCCGGCACAGCTACTTTAAAAAAAAAAAAAAAAACGAGAACTTTCTCAATCTGACAAAGGTATCTTACCAAACCCCCAAACCCTCCAAGAAACAAAAAACAGCAAACAAAAGCCCTACAGCTAACATTGTGCTTAATGTTGAATGCTTTTCCACTGAGACTGGAGATGAGAAAGAAGGTTAGCTTTTCTATACACCACTGGGCTGGTCGTCCTCTCTGGTGCAATAAGGCAAGAAAAAGAAGGAATAAGGCGCAACCTTTTAATGACCAAAATCTGGAATGCTGACGACACCAAATGCTGGTGAGGATGTGTAGTAACAGGTGTTCATTGCTGGTGGGAATGCAAAATGGTACAGCCACTCTGGAAGACAGTTTAGCAGTTTCTTACAAATCTAAAATACTCTTACCATACAACCCAGCAATCGTGCTCCTTGGTATTTACTCAAAGGAGTTGAAAACTTCTATCCACACAAAAACTTGCACATGGATGTTTATAGCAGCTTTAGGTAGAATTGCCAAAACTTGAAAGTAATCTAGGTGTCCTTCAGTAGGTGAGTGGATAAATTGTGGTACATCCACGTGTGGAATAATACTCAGCACTAAAAATAAATGCACTATCAAGCCATGAAAAGACATGGAGAAAACTTGAATGCATGTTACTAAGTGAAAGAAGCCGACCTGAAGAAGTATGAAGCTAGGAAACGAAAATATAAAACTGTCATTTACATATGACATGATTGGGTAGAAAATCCAAACAAAATTTATAAGCAAACTTAAGGTTAGTTAATTTAGTAAAGTAGCTGACTCTAAAACATATATGAAGAAGAACAAAGTTGGAGGACTTACACTACAGTTAGGGAGACAGGTGCAAGGATAAACAGATCAACTAGGAACAGAATAGAAAATGAGAAACAGACTCATCCATCTATGGACTCCTGTTTTATCACCACAAGGTTGACATCGCAGAGCAGGGGAGAGAAGTGGGACAGACTTTTCAGTAAACGGTGCTGGAACAATGAAGTATCCATATTGGAAAATAACAAAAACAAAAAAACCTCTTCATCTCTACCTTACACCATCCCCTAAAACCAATTCCATGGATGTGCGCATGAAAACAAAATGTATATGTGAAAGGTAAAACAAGAAGGCAGCTAGAAGAAGACTTAGGGGAAAGAATAGATTCATTTTCCTACACAGGACACAAAAAGCATGATGAGTAAAAAAGTGACAAATTGGACTCCATTAAAGTTAGAAACTTCTGTTAATCAAAAGGCATGATTGAGAGAGGAAAAAGTAAGCCACATTTGAGAGAAGTTATTTCAATACATACATCTGATAAAGGACTTGTATCTTAAAAATATGAAAACTACAAATCAAAAGGAAAAAGACTTTTAAGTAGGTGCCTCACAAGGGAGGATGTCCAAATGGCTGGTGAACTTTTGAACAGGTGTTCAACCTCATTAGTCATCAGGGAGATGCAAATTAAAACCAGAATGAGATACCACTGTGTATCCACCAGAGTGCTTAAAATTAAACACCAGCGTCGGCAAGGATGTGGAGCAAACTGAGGCTCTCATACGCTGCCGAGGGAGTGTGCACTGGTGCCACCAGTTTGGAAGACGATTTGGCGATATTTCTAAATCCCTATAGCCCAGCTTCTCCGTTCTGTGTCAGACACCTGCTGGGTACCACCTCAGATCCTCCAGCCTCACCTTGGAGGCCTTGGTTACGTTTCCTTCCTTTTCGAGTACAACCTGCGGACACCTCCCATCACTCCCCCCTCCCCAGGGCTTCTCTGCTACCCCTTGAGGCATGAGACAGTGAGGGATGAAACTGGTACCCACAAATCTGTAACCAAAAATGTAGGGGAGTTAACACACTTTGGCCCATCTTTGGACGATGGCAGGTGGAAGCCAGTGGACAAATTCTCCCCCATTCTTATCCCAGATGGACTGTCATGAACCCTATTCATTATAAAGCCTCTTGCAAGAGGGTCCCAACAGCCCAGCAATCAGATGCTTTTGGCACCAAGCTGTGGTCAGTTCAGAAACTCATCCTTGTATTGGCTCTCTTGTCTTCCCTGCCTCACCCCCTTTCCCCTCGCTCTTGAGTCCCTGTGATCGCACCCCCTGATCGAAAAGCACCACCTAAGCTTTTGCCTCGGGCTCTGTTTCTGGAGAGCCTGGGCTAAGATACACTCCCAGGTATATACCCAACAGAAATAAATATAGCAACGCACTGAAAGACGTTTACAACGTTATTCATAACACCACTCTTCACGGTAGCCCCAACCCGGAAAAACCATTATTAGTAGAATGGATAAATATGTCAGAGTACATTCAAATCCTGGAGTCCTGTACTGCAAGGGAAATGAACAAACTACTACCATGCCACAACCTGGATAAGTCTTATAGACATAATATTGAGCAAAAGAAGCTGAATACGATATAAAATGCTGGGATGATCTCATTCACGAGAGGTGCTAAAACGGCCAAAATTAATGTATGAGGCTAAAGGTTAAGATAGAGGTGCTCATTGGAGGTGGAGACTGGAGAGGGACACAAGGAGAGCTCTGGGGTACTGGTCATGTTCTGTCTCTTGAACTGGGTGCTGGTTATACGAGTATGTGCAGTTTGTGAAAACTCATCAAGTGGAACACTTAGGATTTATACAATATTTTGTATGTAGGTTATGCTCACTTCAACAAGAATAGGACATTAAACATGTCCTTTCAGGGCCCCTGGGTGGGACAGGATCCGAGTGCGGCGGGGGGCGGGGGGGGCCCTTG